CGCCGTCGTCGTCGTCGTCGCCGCCGCCGGTGGTGGTAGTAGTAGTAGTAGTGATACCGGTACCGTCGCCGGTGGTGTCCATAGTAGTAATAGTAGTAGTAACAACGGTAGTGGGAGGCAGCCTGGAGTGAGAGAGGCACGACCGGGACGAGAGAGACGGAGAGAGAGAAGGAAGACGGGGACCACGAGGACGGCGACGAGGCGTCATCGTCGTCGTCGTCGCTCGTTCGCCATCGTCGCCGCGGTGGCGAGATAATAACCTGGTTTTCCCGCCGGGGAACGATCGCCGACTTAAATCTTAACACGTACATTGGGAGCGCCGCATCGTCGGCCGTGTGCGTAAAAGAGGGAAAGAGAGAGACAGAGAGGAGCAGCAGCCGCAACGAAGGTCGCCGCCGGTCGGCGAGCAGCGCTCGCTGTCACTGCGAATCGCTCATACACCCTCCTCTCTCCCTTCCTTCACTTTCGTCCACGACCTCCCCTATATTCCTGCCCCCTTGTCACCTCCTTTTCCTCCTCCTCCTCCTCCTCCTCATCCTCCTTCTCCTCTTCCTCCTTCTTCGCTGTCATCACCTCCTCCGTCAAAGGAGGATTCCGCTGTTCTGAGCCATGGCGTGCTGCCTGTCGGAAGAGGCGAAGGAACAGAAACGCATCAACCAGGAAATCGAACGGCAATTGCGGAGAGACAAGCGGGATGCCAGGCGGGAACTCAAGCTGCTCCTACTCGGTGAGTTTCGTCGTTTCTCACAATAAGGTGGCAATCGGGAGGGCGCCGGACGGGAGCCGATAAAACGGTTCGAGTGCTATAAAAATCACTCGCTCTTATCCCTATCATTTTTCTTTTTTCACCGAGGTAAACGGGGACGGATCGCGTGCAGCAGGTTACTCCAAAAATAGCGAAAATTGTAAACCCGGCGTTGAGACGCACGGGAGTGATTGCGGGTTACTCGGCTTAAACTTCTGTACCGTCGTCGTCGTTCGCCGGGGAAGGTAAGCGAGTAATTTGCCACTCGACTTGCCTCCCCACTATCCGCAGCATAAACCCGGCATTAGTCAGGAATATACGGAGCCGGTAAAAGCAGATCGAGCCGAGTGGTAAGTCGCTCGCTCGCTTTTCCTCCCTGAAAGAAATTAATGAAGGACTATAACGCTGTATGAGCCTAGGAGGGAGATTAGTGTAGCGAGTAGCAAGAGTTGCCGACTCACTGTCATTTCGATCGAGGCAAATAGGCCCCTTTCTTTCCTTTGTATGGAGATTTCTTCGTTTCGACACCGCCATTTCGAAACACTTGATTTCGGCGAGCATTGTATTACGGTGGCTTAACTTACGAGAATAGGACACAGTGGACCCTTCACAGATTTTGGTCTCCTCCAGCATGATAACATCTTCCTACATCGAAAACAAATTATGGCCTGTCCGATTTTGGTGAATAAACCTTGTAAGTATTATTTTTTAACACTGGAACCGGCAATTTAGTCCTTCCCCAAAACCATGTATGGGTCACTTATTACTACCATATTACTCTTTCGTGATTTTTGTTATATATATATATAGTAGCTATTTGTTAACGAAAATTAACTGGAAAAGATAGAAGTATCGGACGTCAAAAATGATACAGCCGCAGTGCTAGTGTTAATGTGTGAAAGAATCTTGCACTAATTATATAGAAAATTGAATCCCGATGAAATGAGTTAATTTTCATGTAGGTATAATGCAGCTTGTAATATGGCGAACAAAAGGTATCATTGACATAAAGTTTAATAATGAATAATTTTTGAGCTATGATGTATCAAAAGTGTAAAACTTGTACTCACGTCCAGAACACCTTTGAATATACCATAGCTTAAAAACTATCTATTATTAAACGATTGTTGATCTTTTGTTCGCCACATTGTAAGCTACGTTCATGTGAAAATTAATTCATTTTATCAGGATTCAATTTTCTATATAAAGTTAGTGTGGGTTCCTTTTATATATTAAAAAGTACTATTATATATACAAGTACTATATACACATTCTTTCTACTATGTAAAAAGTACTATATACATATTCAACAAAACACTCAAACACGGCACATTTTATTTTCAATGTAGATTCATCATCCTGATACTGGAGAAGATCAAAATCCGTGAAGAGTCCGTGTCCTCTTTTTGTTAGTTAGAATGCTGATTTCGCATTCAAAGTCAATAGGGAGGAAAGCCAGGTAGCAAAGGTAGTCAGAGATGATTATGGAACAAGTGGCTGAATAACGTGACTACTTGACTTGCCTCTCCTTTCATTGGCTTCGTGTAAATCTAGCATTAGCGTTACCATTATCGTTGAATAATAATCTACGCAGATCAAGAGTTTTATCAGATTCGGTGAAATCACTACATGTACTAAAGATTTTCTTTCTTTGTGTGAGATAATTTATCTCCGTATCATATTTATTAATCAAATTTTCTTTGCTCCATATAGTCAATTTTCGATTATCATATTAATTGTCTTTTTTTTTTAATTTTTAGGGAAACGTCTTCTAACTCTTTTTTAATTCTTTTTCATATAAATTCGTAAATAATAAGCAATTTTATATTTTGTGCAGATTTCGTTATGATAATGCTTTGAAAACCCTTTTTCATGGAAAGGACGATTATACTAAAATATTAAAAAATTTCAGATAAATACAAAGCTAAAAATAACTTTGTTGCCACAAAACTAAAAATCAATGAAATTAGGGATTTGTCAGGGAAATTGAAAATGATGAGGGAAATCAGGGAAAAGTTAGAAAATTTTGCAAAATGTTTAGCTTTAAAAAAGTTTAATATACGTACATCATATCTGCACAGTTTTGGAATATTACCAACTTAACTAATTAAAAATACAAGCAGTTATTAGCAATATTAATTTATATTGAAAATCAAATTATGAAATTTTGTTTAGAAATTAAGGAAAAGTTATGAAATTTATGACAATTCTGATGAAAATAATTATGTAGGAAATTCAAACATGATGAACAATACTGCAAAAAGTTTTGACATTCTAACAACCAATTTGAACGTTCTATATAATTATTTTGAGATAGTTCAACGCGCGCGCGCGCGCGCGAAATTATTTCCAGCTCTATATTTAGTTAAATTTTTAGATACCCTTAACACAACCGTTTTTTCCGTGTTTTGACAACAAAGAACAGTTTTGCACAGACTTTATTTCGTTTTCACTTTTATATCTTTAGTGGAAATCTTGCGAAAAACACTATAATAAAAAGATGAAAAATTACGCATTGACAGAATGGTTAATAATAGATGTAAGCCGATAGTGATTTATGAAATTATCGAATGATGAAAATTCGTTGAATGGACATCGTAAGATCGCTTAAAGCACAACTGTCAATTCTGTCGTCCGAGAGAATGACGATTATTAATTTTGTCATTGGCCGTCTCGCGAGATTACCCTGATTGACCCCTATGTACTCTTCTTTAGAAAGAGTCGCTCGCTCGTTTCATTCATGCGCGCCTCTCGCGAGCGGCCGCGGCCGCGTGCCGTCGACTCCGACGTCGACGCCGACGCCGACGCTGACGCTGACGCCGACGCCGACGCCGGCGCCGCCCGGGAGGCGACGTCCGCGCGTCACGTACGTTTTCTCGTCCTATGCACGAGGTCGATCGGCGCGGCCGGCGTGCGCTTGACAGCTCTTTCTCGACCGGCCGCCGCTCCGCAGCAATACCGTTGCTTATACATATACACGGTGTCTCCGAACATTACCGCCGCCCCAAATCATAGTCGATGTCTTTTGGGCTAGAATTTCGTCGAACGATATTTTTCTTTGCTGTAACATCTTGATTTAGCTCTAATATTGTGTACCATTAAAGTATTTATGTAAGAAACTCAAACATGATGAGCAATGTTACAAAAAATTATGCCGTAGGGAAGACCGAAGCCGATGTAAAGTTTAACCACAAGTTAACCGAAAAATGAAATTAAATGAATTCTATAATTTCAAATCTATAATTGAGACTATGTTAAAAAAATTTTTTTTAATTCAATTCATGAACACTAATAAATAATTCATACTAAACAATTTTTTTTTTTTTAACTTTTATCTAGTTTTCAACATATATATTATGTACATTAGACCTCAGATGAGGGATGTCAATAAAATTAAATAATTTCAACAGATAATATCTTCAAATTTGACATTTAACGTACATTTTAACGTACGCAGAATCTGAAGGGATTAAAAACCTAAGCTTTAATCATTGGTAGAAACAGAAATAAACGAACTAGGCAGATCAAGTTTGTGATTCGTACGATCCATGTAGATATGAAAACGTGTCTAAAATAAGTTGTGCAAATCGTTGCATTCTAGATCGGAAAATTCTAATATATATAAATGTAGATCTTAATCTTTATAATTAACCGGCAAATATATATTTGATGAATTAGATAAGCTTATCATTAAACATATTAAGATGTTTGCAGGGTTTATTTTTGCAGATTTTAAAGAGATTTGGAATATAAACAAGTAACTTATAAAAGCCACCCCTCCCCATTTGAATGTCTAATACGTAAACTTTTATCTTTGCGCCGCGGATCGGTAACACGAGCGCCAACTTAGAACCCTTTTGTTTTACGCCGACTGCGTATCAAATTCGCCTTGCTAACGATCTGATGAGGAGTCGTCGCTCGTTAAGCGTATTGTTTTCCCTGGGATGCTCTTTATGGTTTCGTGATTCACGCGAGCGCCGCGTGTGCATATTTACCCACCTATTCCGCGAAACGAAACACTAGCTGGGCGTGCTCTCGCGACGTTCTCTTATCAAATTTATCATCTCGATCGCATAGAAGATCATATGAATCCTTTTCTCGAGGTACAAACCAGTTGCAATTACAGACTTTGCTCTTCCTGACTTGCATTTCGTATGTTTGTAGATTGAATGCTCATGTTTCAATATAATTTTAATCAAGTATATTAATTTCTGCTTTTCCTATGCACATATATATTTATTTAAAAATAACAATCTTGAAATAAAGACATATCTACAGAATATTCGATGAAATTAATTCAAACAGGATAGAAGGTCGATACAGCAATATCTTATCCATATTTCTTTCGTCTGAAATTACATACCTAATAGATACCTGAATATCTTTTCACAGTTTTCTACTCAAAATTAGATATTTTTATACTGTAATTTGCGCATCACTCACTGCGCTGAACTTTATTGCAAACTTCTTATATTTTTTTACATTATTGAAAGGACTTTGTATAATTTCTTCATATTTTATATATCTTTGTAACTTAATAAATGAAAATCAAACCTAACCAACTTAAATGAAAACCAAAAGTAGTGAAGCCACGAGAGTGCAAACCTCGTACAGGGAAGTGCGAATCCCAGTGCACCTGGTGCTCCATTTTATTCCGCCTCCCCTGCTCTCCGAGCGACGTCACCTTATCCATCGACGGCGTACACCAACACGCGGTATTTCCTCCCCTGTATCTAATAAATCCAAGCACTCGTGAGCGCTCACAAGCCGCTCCGAATGCACCCCTCCTTCGGTCAAGCTCGAACCCGAGCACACGACCGCCACGCCGTCCGAGCGGAGAACAAGAGCTCCGTCGGAGCTCCCCGCCGCTTAGGCCCTACGAAACATTTCCCGTCGTTCGTCCTTCCCTTCCGACTGCCCCACAAAGGAAAAGGGTGCAGGGTGCCTCAAGTTTTCATACCTCCCTCACGTAGCACCACTAC